CTTTCTCTAGTAGTGGGCTTTGAACATGTTAGTGGACTCATGGTGGGGGTCTTGAGTGGAAGGCCCAACACACACGCGCGCGTGTAGCCGTGGCCGTGGCCTAGGCCGCGGGATTCGCGAAGGTGGCGCGAGTAGGCGCACGCCGCATCGGAGCAGAAAGAGCCTCGCCCCGAGCTCCGAGTATCTTTTTACTAGAGATTTCGTCAGGAGGATTATCATTAACCCGATTTTAATTTTAATTTGAAATAAATCGGATTTGAGATAATTATTAAAATTAATATTTTGAGATAATTATTAATTTTAATTAATTAATCCGATTTTAACATTTTAATTTAAATTAAAATGTATTTTGACTTGGTTTAGAGATAGGTTTTTGGTTGAGAATTTTTCTCCCACTTTCTTCTCTTCGTGGGCCATTCTCGTGGGCCTGAACTAGGGTTTCACCCAGTATAAATACTGGGTGAAGCCGTATCTATTTTGATATACGAAAACAATTCTTCCTTTGACGAAATTCTGCTCCCGTCTCCTATTTCTCTCTACCGTTTTGCTACAAAACCTGCTCTATATTCTTTGTGATAGCTGTTCACAAACGAATAATCTACTGCATCAAATCCTGGGGCTTTGCGACTAGCAGACTCACAGCTTCTAAAGAGTGGTCGTATAAAATCTTTAAGGACAGGTTTTCCGTGCAGTTCTTCATCCGTATCGACAACATTTTTACCAGGTTGGTTTTACTATTTTTGCATTGTATTTAAATTTCTCGTTCACTAAGTGAACACTCTGCTTCTACCTCTTTCTTTCATTGAATCCATCGAGAAGGATAGATTCCATCTGTGGAATTGGTACATTTGAGTTTTTGGTGGGTCCGAATTCTAAAAAGTTTAACTTTGTCACTATAATATAATTAAATTTTATAAAGATTATCTCTTTATTTGGTGTTCATTTTCTTATTTGAATTTATTTTCTCAACTGAGATGTATGCAAGCCTGTCCTCTACCCCCAAAGAGTAAAGCGGTTGTTTTCGTGAAGAACCCCGGCTCGCAATAAGTGTGTGAACAAAAGAAAGTTTGCCCAAAAAGTTAGAACAATTTGGAAAAAGGACAAGAATTGGAAAGTAAAGAGAAGAATCAAGGCTAGAGATGAAAACTGAAAGGAACTAAGGCTAGAGAAAAATAAGCAGCACCATACGAACAGAAGTCGGTAAAACATGATAAAAGAAAGACAACACTACAAATCAGAATCCAACTATGAAGTACAAAAACCAACCAATGGGATAGAAAGTTGAAGTGATAACCATGTCTAGATACAAAACTGATAATGCTACAGTAAATTTTTGAAAGAGATGAAGTGTAAAAATATATCCTGTTCCTGATGTTTTCGTTTCATGCTATGCTATCACTTAACAACCATTCAACTTCCTTTATCTGCTATTCAGCATTTCACAATATCAAAAATTAATCCTAAAAACACATTATGTAGGTACTTATGCCATTTATATCCCCATTTTTCTAATTAGTTACCACCAGACTGCTAAAATGAAAATCAGGGGTATAGCTGAATGACTCTCTCCTGTTTTTATAACTGCATGGCAGGACAGTCAAAATAGCTTGCTTGAGAAAAATCTTCTTTTATGAGAAAAAGGGCAAAATCATTCACTCCTAATATTGGAATAATAAGAGCTATAAGCAAAGGTTGGAACTTACAAAGGTAGGCAACTCTTGGATTGATAGGTTCAATTTCATTAGCAACACGAAGGATAGGTGCAATCTGAGCAAGAGATGAAGGCACCACCTCACTGTCCATCATAGAGTCCATACCCAAACTACCAGCGGTTTGAGTCCGCAGTAGCCGCCCAGGTGGCGGCTGGTGCTGATCGGACCCTCTTCGGTTGTAAGCCATAGTTTCTCCCAATCCTTCTTACAGAATAGTTTTTGCCCCACTCTTAAAAACCTCCTGTTGAGAAAAGGAAAAAATCAGCGCCAAAATAGTAGATGATCCCAAACATATGTAGTATTTATGTTTACAAAATAACCCAAACTGATTAAGGAAAAACTTAGTCTACTTTCAGTCAAATATGTTTTAATTAAATTAAACAAAATCAACAGCTTGAAATGCTTGACAATAAAAAGACAACAGCTTTTACACTTTTGAGTCTCACCCCTTCTGATGGATCAGAAAACCAAAGGCCAACTTTCTTTAATTGAATAGAGAAATAGATTTTCCAGTCTGATCAACTTCACATAATTGAGGTGCATCAGCCCTCATGAACTCTTGATTCACAGAAAATGATAGAAATCAGAGGGCAAATGGTACCGAAGAGCTGCAGCCATAAAACAGAAGATCATTTAAAGTAGTCGAGGAAACTGAATTTTGAATTGCGGAATCAACAAACCAAATCCATTAAAAGTATTAAACTCATTAAAAATCCCATAAATTCATTCAAATTTTCATCAGAAAACTAGAAATTTGATTGATCAGAAAACCCTTGCCTCGAAGAACTTAAAGGGTTTAAAGCAGTTACTTTATGTTGTTATAACAGTAGATATCCAACAACTCATAAATTACGAGATCATTCAAATTAATAGATGATGATGATGATGAAGAACTTACCAGATAATTGAAGCTCAAAAGCTTCACAGAAAAGCAACTTTTATCATCATAGTGAAGATTAGCTGATTACAAAAGAGATTTCAGCTCATGCAGAAAGGTTTCTGCCAAAAAGATACATCAGCAATGACATATAGAGAGAAAGTAGAGCAAGGGAAAAAGCGAAAGCATTATCAAAATGGCCTTAATCAACAAGAAAACGCGGGCAACTGAGCAAATGATTGATGACTAAAATATGAATATTTAGAGTTAAAAAGGGATTCATTGTTTCATGATTGTTCAGTTTAGTCCCTGTGGTTTTAGGAAAATTGACCCAAATGATCATATTTCACAACCAAATTGACCTTCTAAAGATTTCTATGATTAGGCCTGCAATACCCAGACACGTAGTTATTGTAGGCCCATTAACGACAAAATTCTAGAGTTTTTTGGTCCAAATACGTAATTATTACGGATCTTACCCAAAACTCATTTTCCTTGAATCCGTAATGTCAGATCAGTTAGTGTCCATCTTGGGGGTTTCATAGGAAAATAAGTTTTGGGTCGAATCCGTAATAATTGCAGACCGGTGGTTACAAACTTGGCTCAAAGACGTTGATTTTTTTTTTTTTGTCGTTTAGTGGGTATTGCGAACCTAGTGACTTTTGAGTAAAGTTCTGAGAGAAATATTTAGGAGGTTAATTTGGTTGTGGAATATTGTTATTTGAATCAATTTTCCATGGTTTTACCATCAACAAGTTTTATTTTCTCCATATACATAAATGTGTATTCATATAATTTTAGTATAGGCAGAGGATCGTACGAGAAATAAAGTTATGGTGAGAAATGTAAGAAAAGATCTGAACGTTTGATCACTTCTAATCACATGTTCACCCATGAATTATGCTTTAAAAAGGAATTGATTCGGTGCATCTCAGTGCACCTCATTAATATTAACATTCAATTAGGATCGATCAAATGATAAATATCTCCTTACATTTATGAACATAACTTCTCTTCTTATCGGAACCCAACTCTTTTAATATATTGATTTTTATGAAATAATAATATAAATTAAAAATGATTTGACCTTAAATTTTTTGAACCAATTTGAGAAAAGTTTTTGTAATATTCCCTTCGTCCTAAATAAATTTTCATGACAAAAAAAGATGTCGTTTCAGGAAGATGGAATTATTATATTAAAATGAAATCAATCTTTATCTTATTTTTATTTCAGAGAACCAACTTGTATATGCCTACATAAATATGCAATGCACTTGTTTAACAAAAAAAAAAATCGAAACTCCAAACTGTAACTCTGACCAAACCAGATGTTTGATAGTATTAAAACCAAAAATAAGTCCACAATAAAACCAGAATAAGGAATGTTTCATTTTGATTCAATTTGCACTAAAATTAATACTGGTTACAAGAAAACCATGTTTAAGTTCGATAAAAATGCAAATGTTTTATGGGGTTGTTTACCAAATTTTTTTATCAAGTCCTGTATGGATAAATTTGTCTGTTCAAATAAATTTGTCTGTCTGGATAAATGAGTGATATTGTTTACTTTTTTTATCTGAACCAACAGTCTGAATAACAAAAATGACCGATTTACCCCCAATATTAATTATTTGAACATCAAAATAAAAAATCATAAAGAAGCCGAAGATGGGTGTCTCATATGGGAAGGAGACGGTGCTTTAAATAAGGGGTAGGGGTGTCATTATGTGGCTGAATGGGGACAACACACTGTTTCTATCTGTGTGATTAAGCCATGTTCTGTGCAAATAAGCCGTAAGTAAACAACCCAAATGAATTATGCAAATGAGCGTAATTAAACTGCAAGTAAACAACCCCTAAGGTCTTTGAGGATTTTCTTAAAACGTCATTAGTTCGAGTTTCGCAACGCTACTAAGATCTTTTTGGTTGTTCTTCAAGGTCCTTGAAATTAGTGTAGGTGTGCATAAATTGGTTAAGATGCTCATGCTTAACAAAAAAATGCAAAAAGTTTCAAATTAAGGGACCAAAGTTGATACTTTTGAAGTTTAGGGATCACATTTGTACAACTTCCAATAAATGGAGCCCGCAAATAACAAATTTACTGATGTGAAAACCTTCTTTATATAGCCGTACTCCCCTTCGTTTGAAAAACACGTACCCTTGGCGTATTTGACATTTTATTATAGTTTAAATCGAATTAATATTTTTTATTGAATTTTAAAAGTATTCCATTTCTAAGTTGTTCTTTAAATAAATCATGTCATCTAAAAAAATAATATATTTAGAGCAATTGCATAAGCAAACTATTTGAATTTAATTAATATTTAAGTAATACTAGAAAGTTACTTGTACAATATAGCGAAATAAATCTTTATTAATACTTAATTTTTATTATTTGTCTATGTCGATGTAATATAATCTTATGTGGTTTTGAGAAAATGATAATGTTTGTATTTTTAAATGAAACATAAATTTGAAGACAATATAAAAAATTTATAAAAAATCGATATTAGTATTAAATAAACTATTTAATAGTGTTCGTTTTTTGGTGTAATTTTTTTAATTTAATTTTTTATTATAATTTATTTTTGGTTTAATAATGTAATTTTTATTAAAGATAATAATTAAACATTTGGTTAGAAACTCGATAATTATCCTAATTATATTTTAGATTTTTTAATTTTAAAATGAGATGTTTATCCTGTATTTGATTATGTTTATTCGTAGTTAGTTACACGAATTCAAACATGGAGCTTTAATAAGTTATACTTAATGCATAATTTACTTGTAATTTTAAATTTTAAGTAATATGCATTAATATACAGTACTGTATGCATAAAAAATGGTTTTTAAAAGTTTTTGTCAAATGTTTTATAATATAGTATAGATAATTTTAAGTGTATGAAAACGGTTATTTTAGAACAACTACAAGGATATTTGCATAATGCAGCGAGATACATCTCGATTTTAATATTTCGTTTTTATTTTTTTTGTCTCAGTCGATTTTATAATACGGTTTTATGTGGTTTTGAGAAAATGATAATGTTTTTATTTTTAAATAAAATATAAATATATATCATAAAATTTTGAAAAAAAGGCCTTAAAATTTCTTTTTTTCTTTGTATTTTTTAATTATTTTTTATTTTTGGTTTAATGATATAACTTTTTATAAAAATAATAATTAAGTATTTTATTAAAACTCAATGATTATCCTAATTATTATTTTAGATTTTTTTATATTTAAAATGAGATGTTTATCCTCTATTTGATTATCTTTATCTATAGTTATTTACACAAATTCAAACATGAAGCTTTAACAAGGGGCTGTTTACCAAATTTTCTATTAAATCATGTATGGATAAATTTGTCTGTCTGGATAAATTTGGCTGTCTAGATAAATTTATGTTGTTGTTTACTTTTCTATCTGAATCAACAGTTTGAATAACATAAATGACCAATTTACCCTTGAGAATTAACTATGGGTTGTTTAGTAAATTGTTGTTCATCTATTGGAGTATGAGATCAATAACAATAAACAACCCCTAATACACTTTGTTCTTCAACAAACAAACAAACACCCCCAAAGTATATACAAACACACATCTTATTATCAAATATCCCCAATTGCATCATGCATCACCCTCTCACCATTCTGTTGTAAACATACCCATTCGTATCTTCGTCATCTGCAATCTGCAGCCCTGAAACAGCCTGTGCAGATATCTCATCAACATATTCTAAACACCCATCTTCACCCCATCCACCATTCTTCAAAATCCAACCATTTCCATTGCCACTCCTCCTGTAAATGTAAGGTCGCTTACTTACATACAGTTTATTTATAATCTTAAATTTTAAGTAATATGCATCAATAAACAATATTTCATATATATAAAAAATGGCTTTTAAGAGTTTTTGTCAAATTTTTTATAATATAGTATAGATAATTTTTTGATTAAAAAAAAGAATTTAAATACAAGATTCTTTTGATAAAAATTTTGTAATTTATTAAATAGTTATGGATTAATTTTTTTTTTTGTTAAAATGTTATTCTCTAAAATAGCCCTGAGAGGTCTTTCTATATTTATACTATGTTATAAAACATTTGATAGAAACTGTTAAAATCATTTTTATGCATGAATTACTGTTTATTGATATATATTATTTAAAATTCAAGATTACAAGTAATTTTACGTAAGTACAACTTATTAAACTCCATTTTTAAAATTGTGTAACTAACTGTATATAAACATAATAAAATACAGAATAAACATCCATTTTAAATATAAAAAATCTAAAATACAATTAAGATAATCATTGAGTTCTAACAAAATGTTTAATTATTATCTTTATAAAAAAATTATTAAACCAAAAATAAATTACTTTGTTATTAAATCTAAATTGAATTATAATAAAAAATTGAATTAAAGAAGTTACACAAAGAAAACCACAACTATTAAATAGTTGATTTGATACTAATATCGATTTTTTTTTTCAAATTATTATGCTATCTTCAAATTTATATTTCATTCAAAAATAAAAAACATGTTTGTTTTCTCAAAACCACGTAAAATCGTATTATATCGATAGAGATAGAATAAAAACTATACATTAAAATAAAGATTTATCTCGCTATATTGCGCGAGTATCATTCGAGTTATATAATAAAGCGTTTAAGTTTACTTAATTTTTTTTTAATTTTTCAAAATATAAATATTTTATGTACAGATCGAAAATGCTTTACAAAAAATCTTTCAATTTTTATAATATTCTTATTTTACCTTTTTTTTAAACAATAGCAGATAGGGGTGCTCACAGCCCGGGTTGATCGGTTTGGAGCCGTTTTAACAACCCAACCCAACCCAATGTTAGCGGTTTGAAAATTTTCAACCCAACTCAACCCAAACAAAAGTTCAAACCCAACCCAACCCGTTCGGGTTGATCGGGTTATGTTTAAACAATGTAAAATCACATAAAAATAAAGGAATCTTTCCTTTGAAATACGACCGACCATTCGAGATAATATGCAAGTTCATCAAATATTTAGATATTACAATAAAAATGTTTAAACCAAATTATAATACATCAATCAACAACAATAGTT